AACACCCTGACACGGGGAATAATAAACATTGGGAAAACAGTTCCAGGAATAATGAACACCCTGAGGGAATAACAAACACCGGGATAACAACCCTGGAATAACAGCCTGATAAAAGTCCCAGGAATAAGGGAGTGGGAATAACCACTCTGGGAATGACAAACAGCAGGATAACAGCTCCAGGAATAATGAATGCCCTGAGGGTGGGAATGACAAACACCGGGAGAAAAGCCCTGGAATAACAGCCTGACACCGGGATAAAAGCCCCAGGAATAAGGAACACCCAGAAAGTGGGAATAACAGCTCCAGGAATTACAAACACCGGGATAACGGCTCCAGGAATAACAACACCGGGATAACAGCCCCAGGAATAACATAGAGCCTGAGACCAGGATAATGGGAATAACAAACACTGGGAAAACAGCCCCGGGAATAATGAACACCCTGAGGGTGGGAGTGTAAAACACAGGGATAAAAGCCCCGGGAATAACAAACACCAGGATAAACACCCCGGGAATGACAAACACCCTGACACCAGGATAATGGGAATAACAAACATTGGGAAAACAGTTCCGGGAATAATGAACACCCTGAGGGAATAACAAACACCGGGATAACAACCCTGGAATAACAGCCTGATAAAAGTCCCAGGAATAAGGAACACACTGGGAGTGGGAATAACAACTCTGGGAATGACAAACAGCGGGATAACAGCTCCGGGAATAATGAATGCCCTGAGGGTGGGAATGACAAACACCGGGATAAAAGCCCTGGAATAACAGCCTGACACTGGGATAACAGCCCCAGGAATAAGGAACACCCAGAAAGTGGGAATAACAGCTCCGGGAATAACAAACACCGGGATGACAGCCCCGGGAATAATAAATATCGGGATAAAAGCCCTGGAAATAACAAACAGCCTGAGACCGGGATAATGGGAATAACAAACACTGGGAAAACAGCCTCGGGAATAATGAACGCCCTGAGGGTGGGAGTGTAAAACACCGGGATAAAAGCCTCGGGAATAACAGCCTGACACCAGGATAAAAGCCCCGGGAATAAGCAACACCCTGAGAGTGGGAATAAGAGCTCTGGGAATTGCAAACACTGGGATAACGGCTCCGTGAATAACAACACCGGGATAACAGCCCCAGGAATAACATAGAGCCTGAGACCGGGATAATGGAAATAACAAACACTGGGAAAACAGTCCCTGGAATAATGAACTCCCTGAGGGTGGGAATGACAAACACTGGGATAAAAACCCCGGGAATAACAAACACCCTGACATGGGGAATAATAAACATTGGGAAAACAGCTCCAGGAATAATGAACGCCCTGAGGGTGGGAATAACAAACACCGGGATAACATCCCTGGAATAACAGCCTGACACCGGGATAAAAGCCCCAGGAATAAGGAACACCCAGAGAGTGGGAATAACAACTCTGGGAATAAAAAAAAAAACTGGGATAACAGCTCTGGGAATGACAAACACTGGGATAACAGTTCTGGGAATGACAAACACTGGGATAACAGCCCCGGGAATAATGAACACCCTGACACCGACACTGGGATAATGGGAATAATAAACTTGGGCGGAAAAAAAACGGGAATAACAAACACCGGGATAACAGTGCCGGGAGTGACAAACAGCCTGACACCGGGATAATGGGAATAATGAACATTGGGAAAACAGCCCCGGGAATAATGAACGCCCTGAGAGTGGGAATAACAGCTCTGGGAATAAAAAAAACACCTGGGATGGAAGCCCTGGGAACAACCAACACTGGAATAACGGCTCTGGGAATGACAAACACCGGGATAAAAACTCCGGGAATAACGAGCACCCCGAGCCCAGCGTTTCAGCTCCGGGAATTCTTTTGCCTCCACACACGGGGATTTAGGGCCTGTGAAACCTCCCAGCATCCACACCCCAAATCTGGGAACCCACGAGCACCCCAATACCCGGATCTGAGCCCCAGGAACAAAGAGGCACCCCAATATCCCGGTCCCAATCCTGGGAATGCACCCAGGGACACCCCAAAGTCCCGGTCCCAGTCCTGGGAATGCACCCAGGGACACCCCAAAATCCCTGTCCCAATCCTGGGAATGCACCCAGGGATGCCCCAAAATCCCTGTGACAGCTCTGGGGACCCAGGGACACCCCAAAATCCCTGTGACAGCTCTGGGGAATCAGGGACACCCCAAAATCCCTGTGAGAGCCCTGGGGAACCAGGGACACCCCAAAATCCCTGTGACAGCTCTGGGGACCCAGGGACACCCCAAAATCCCTGTGACAGCTCTGGGGACCCAGGGACACCCCAAAATCCCTGTGACAGCTCTGGGGAATCAGGGACACCCCAAAATCCCTGTGACAGCTCTGGGAACCCAGGGACACCCCAAAATCCATGTGAGAGCCCTGGGGAACCAGGGACACCCCAAAATCTGTCCCTAAGCCGTTGTCCCCCATCCCATTATCCCATCCCATCCCTCCCCTCTCCCCATGGGACCCATGGAAATGGCGGCCAGGGCCCTGTGTCACTGCTGTCCCCGCCATGTCCCCTCGCTGTCCCCACCCCTCAGGCCCTCCCTAGGGCTGAGTCTGGGGGACAGCTGGGGAGCAGGGGACATTGGGTGACCCCAGCCACCCCTGGAGGGGACCCAAAGGCCAGAGGGGTGACAATGAGGGTGACAGAGGGTGACAGTGAGGGTGACAGGGGGTGACAGTGAGGGTGACAGAGGGGTGACAATGGGGGTGACAGGAGGGCAACAATGGGGGTGACAGAAGGGTGACAGTGAGGGTGACAGGGGGTGACAATGGAGGTGACAGAAGGGTGACAATGGGGGTGACAGAGGGGTGACAATGGAGGTGACAGGGGGTGACAATGGGGGTGACAGAGGGATAGGTCCCAAAGGGGGCACCCCCAGTGACACTGCCAGGGTGGGGACAGTGCTGGGGACATCCTTGAGAGTGGGGGACAGCAGTGACACCCCCTGGGAGAGCCTGGCAGGGTGGGGACACGTCCCTGTCCCCTCCCCATAGGGCTGGGGACCCTACAGGGACACGTCCCTGTCCCTATGGGGCTGGGGACCCTACAGGGACACGTCCCTGTCCCCTCCCCATGGGGCTGGGGACCCTACGGGGACACATCCCTGTCCCCATGGGGCTGGGGACCCTACAGGGACATGTCCCTGTTCCTATGGGGCTGGGGACACTATGGGGACACGTCCCTGTTCCTGTGGGGCTGGGGACCCTACGGGGACACATCCCTGTCCCCATGGGGCTGGGGACCCTACAGGGACACATCCCTGTCCCCGTGGGGCTGGGGACCCTATTGGGACACGTCCCTGTCCCCATGGGGCTGGGGACCCTATTGGGACACATCCCTGTCCCCTCCTCATGGGGCTGGGGACCCTACGGGGACACGTCCCTGTCCCCATGGGGCTGCTGGGGGTCCCACAGGAGGGTCCGGGCCAGCAGAGCCACCGGGCGGGGGGGGGTGACAGCGCCTTGGGGACGCATCCCAGGGTCGGGAGGGTCCCGGCCGGGAGCGTTCCCCGGTCCCGGGGGTCCCGCGGGGGTTTCCCGGTGGGAGAAGGGTGGGGCGGAGCCTCGGCACTGCGGGATCGGGGATTTGGGGGGGCTTGGGCGGGGAATCGCCCCAAAAACATCGGGATGGGAAACGAGAATCCGGGCAGGGGGATGGCCCCAAAAACATCGGGATGGGAAACGGGAATCAGGGCAGGGGGATGGCCCCAAAAACATCGGGATGGGAAAAGGGGGATTGCCCCGATCCCAAAGGATGGGAGAGATGGGAATCCAGGCAGGGGGATCGCCCCGATCCCAAGGGATGGGAAACAGGGGATTCCGGGCAGGGGGATCACCCCGAAAACCCCGGGATGGGAGAGAAAGGGGTCCGGGTTTTTTTTCTCGGTTCTGGAGGAGCTGGACAGGGATTGCCCCAATCCCACCGGGATGGCAAACGGGAATCCGGGCAGCGGCATGGCCCCAAAACACCGGGATGGGAGAGAGGGGGATCGCCCCGATCCCAGGGGATGGGAGACAGGGGGGACCGGGCAGCGGGATCGCCCCCAAAACACCGGGATGGGGAACAGGGGGATGGCCCCGGTCCCACCGGAATAGGAGAGAGGGGAGACCGGGCAGGTTTTTCCCGGAGCCGGAGAGGGATCGCCCGGATCCCACCGGGACGGGAGAGAGGAGGGGACCGGACAGGGGGATGGCCCCCAAAACACCGGGGTGGGAGACAGGGGGGTCCTGGCAGGTTTTTCCCGGTTCTAGAGGAGCCGGGGAGGGATTGCCCCGATGCCAAGGAATGGGAGAGAGGGGTTCGGGCACAGGAATCACCCCGATCCCAAGGGGTGGGAGAGAGGAGAGTTCGGGCAGGTTTTTCCCGGTGCTGGAGGAACCGAGTGGAGGGATCGCACCGATCCCAAGGGATGGGAAACAGGGGGCACCGGGCAGAGGGATCGCCCCAAAAACACCAGGATGGGAAACACTGGGGTCCGGGCAGAGGGATCGCCCCAAAAACACCGGGATGGGAAACAGGGGGGTCCTGGCAGGGGGATCGCCCCCAAAACACCGGGATGGGGAAGAGGGGGGTCCTGGCAGAGGGATCGCACCGAAAACACCGGGATGGGGAAACAGGGGGGTCCTGGCAGAGGGATCACACCGATCCCAAGGGATGGAAAACAAGGGGAGCCGGGCAGGGGGACCGCACCGATCCCAAGGGATGGGACAGAGGGGGGTCCGGGCAGGTTTTTCCTGGTGCCGGAGGAACCGAGCGGAGGGATCGCCGCGGTCCCAGCGGGACGGGCGGCGGCAGCGGTGGCGGGGGGGTCTCCGGGCGGCGAAAGCCCCGAGCTCTCGATTTCCCCCCGCTCCCTCGGGGACAGGCGGGGCTTTCCCGGTGCTTCCCGCGTGGATCCCACCGGGAAAAAACCCGAACCGGGATCTGCCGGGCGGGGCGGGGGCAGCCGGTACCTATGGTGGTGATGACGGTGATGGCGAAGTAGAAGGAGCCGGCGAATTTCCACTGGACGCCGGCGTTGTGCGGCTTGAGCTTGAGCACGACCCGCTCGAGCTCGCCGTAGCTCTCGGCGCTCAGGTTGTACTTTCTCTTGAGCTCGTCGCTCTTGGCCTCCAGCCGCCGCCTCTCCGCCGTCTCCGCCTCGGACTCGAGCGCGTCGAAGACGGCGGCGCCCACCAGCAGGTAGGTGAAGGTGCAGACGATCAGCGCCAGCGTCCGCACGTTCTGCCGCTTCATGGTGCGCCGGCGGCGGCTGCGGGGCGCGGCGGGGCCGGCTGGGGCATGGCGGCAGCGCCCGGGCACGGCGGGCGGGCGGGCGGGCGGGCGGGCGGCCGGGGGAGGCGGCCCAGGCGCGGCTGCGGCGGCCGCGGCGGCGGCGGGGCCGGCGGAGGAGCGGGAGGAGGGAGAGGGAGGGAGAGGGAGGAGGAGGAGGAGGAGGAGGGGGAGGAGGAGGAGGAGGGAGGGGGCGGAGCTGTCCTTCAGCACCGGCGCCCCCGGGGAGCCCCCGAGCGTCGCACGGGGCCGGGTGACCCCCGGTGACCTCCCCGGTGCCGGGAGCCGAGTCCGCGCCGGGAACAGGTCCCAAAGCCCAGATCCCGATTCCCAGCTCTGGGAATGGATCCCAAAGCTCAGGTCCCAAATCCCAACCCTGGGAAGAGCTCCCAAAACCCCAAATCCCAACCCTGGGAACAGCTCCCAAACCCCAAACCCCAAATCCCAAACCTGGGAACAGGTCCCAAAACCCCAAATCCCAACTCCCAACTCTGGGAACAGCTCCTAAAGCTAAAATCCCAGTTCCCAAACCTGGGAACAGCTCCCAAACCCCAAAGACCAACTTTGGGAACAGCTCCCAAACCCCAAAGCCCAACCTTGGGAACAGCTCCCAGACCCCAAACCCCAAAGCCCAACTCTGTAACAGCTCCCAAAACACAGATCCCAATTCCCAAACCTGGGAACAGCTCCCAAAACCCCAAAGACCAACTCCGGGAACAGATTCCAAACCCCAAACCCCAAATCCCAGCCTTGGGAACAGCTCCCAAACCGCAGATCCCAACCCCAGCCCTGGGAACAGCTCCCAAACCCCAAATTCCAAACCCCAGATCCCAAACTCCAAATCCCAACCCTGCTCCAGGGCCGTGTCTCCACCTGCACCCCATCCCATCCCATTATCCCATTATCCCATCCCATTATCCCAACCCATCCAACCTTTCCTGGGATGCTACCAGGGATTCTCTGGGAATCCCAGCCCAGCCAGGAATCCCTTCCCAGGATCCCAGCATCCCAAGCTCCCCTTTCCCACTGGAAGCCATTCCCTGGCTCCTGCCCCTCCAGCCCTTGCCCCAATCCCAGCTCTCCTGGAGCCCCTTTGGGATGGGGAAGCGGCTCCAAGGATTCCCCTGATCCAGCTGCACATTCCCAGCTCTCCCAGCTCCGTGTCCCGCTGATTTTGGGATCCCAATTCCATGTGGGCTCTCACCCAGATGGAATTCCCACTTTTCCTGCTGTCGGATATTGGGATCATCCCAGGATCCTTGTGGGGCCGGATGGTGCCACCCTCTGGAGCAGGGAATGTTTTCCATCCCAGGACTGGTTCTGTCAGCTGCTGTCACCCGAAACCAGGGGACAATTGTCCCTCACACCTGTGCTGGCACCTCAACCCAGCCCTGATCCCATGGGAATTCCAGAGTCCCAGGGAATTCCAGCCAGGGATATGGGATAGGGGATATGGGATAGGGGATATGGGATATGGGGTAGGGGATAAGGGATAGGGGATGTGGGATAGGGGATGTGGGATATGGGATAGGGGACAGGGGATAGGGGATAGGGGATAGGGGATATGGGATGTGGGGTTAATGGGGTACTGTGGGTTGTGGGGAGCTGTGGGTTGTGGGGTACAGGGATTAATGGGGTGCTGTGGGGTTAATGGGATTAGTCGGTTAATGGAATGTGGGGTTAATGGGGTATGGGGTATGAGGTTCAGGGTTATGGGGTGCTGTGGCTTATGGGGTGCAGCGTTATGGGGTGCAGGGTAATGGTGTGCAGGGTTAATGAGGTGCTATGGGTTATGGGGTACTGTGGGTTATGGGGTGCAAGGTTATGGGGTGCTGGGTTAATGAGGTGCTGTGGGTTATGGGGTGCTGTGGGTTATGGGGTGTGGGGTTAGGGGGTATGAGGTCATTAGGATGCTGTGGGTTAATGGGGTGTGGGGTTAATGGGGTGCTGTGGGTTAATGGGGTGCAGGGTTATGGGGTGTGGGGTTATGGGGTGCAGGGTTATGGGGTGTGGGGTTATGGGGTCCTGTGAGTCAATGGGCTGTGGGGTTAATGGGGTGCAGGGTTATGGGGTGCTGTGGGTTATGGGGTGCTGTGGGTTATGGGGTGTGGGTTTAATGGGGTTCTGTGGGTTATAGGGTGCTGGGTTTTGGCATGCTGTGGGTTATGGGGTTCTGTGGGTTGATGGAGTGTGGGGTTAATGGGATTCTGTGGGTTAATGGGGTGCAGGGTTATGGGGTGTGGGGTTAATGGGGTGCTGTGGGGTATGGAGTGCTGTGGGTTATGGGGTGCAGGGTTATGGGGTGCTATGGGTTATGGGGTGCAGGGTTATGGGGTTCAGAGTTATTTGGGCTCTGTGGGTTATTGGGTGCTGTGCGTTATTGGGTGCTGTGGGTTATTGGGTGCAGGGTTATGGGGTGCTATGGGTTATGGGGTGCAGGGTTATGGGGTTCAGAGTTATTTGGGCTCTGTGGGTTATTGGGTGCTGTGCGTTATTGGGTGCTGTGGGTTATGGGGTGCACGGTTATGGGGTTCAGAGGTATTTGGGCTCTGTGCATTATTGGGTTCTGTGGGTTATGGGGTGCTGTGCATTATTGGGTGCTGTGGGTTATGGGGTTCTGTGGGTTATGGGGTGCAGGGTTATGGGGTGTGGGGTTAATGGGGTTCAGAGTTATTGGGGTGCTGTGCGTTATTGGGTGCTGTGGGTTATGGGGTGCAGGGTTATGGGGTTCAGAGTTATTTGGGCTCTGTGCATTATTGGGTTTTGGGGGTTATGGGGTTCTGTGCGTTATTGGGTGCTGTGGGTTATGGGGTGCAGGGTTATGAGGAGCTGTGGGATGTGGAACTGCAGGATCTGGGATGGTTGGGATCCCCTGGGATTCACCCTGGCAGGGAGCGGCGTTTTTGGGAACAAAGATCCGCGGGATCCGTCCCGGCTGCCGGAGCTCCTCGGCCTTTTCCCGCTCCCGGGGTGCGGCAGCTGCCGCGACAGCTTGGGCTGGATCCGGCTGATCCGGCACCGCTCGGCATGGAGCGGGAAACCGGGAATGGCCTGGCAGCCACAGCATCCCGGGAAAGACATCCCAAATGTCCCTGATCCACAGAATCCTGGGAATCGCATCCCAAATGTCCCTGATCCACAGAATCCTGGGAATGATGTCCCAAATGTCCCTGATCCACAGCATCTGGGAAACAAATCCCAAATATCCCAACAGCATCCTGGGAATCACATCCCAACCATCCCTGATCCACAGAATCCGGGAAATATATCCCAAATATCCCATAGGCATCCTGGGAATTGCATCCCAAAATATCCCAACAGTATCCTGGGAATCAAATCCCAACCATCTCATTGGCATCCTGGGAGTCACATCCCAAATGTCCCTGATCCACAGCATCCCGGGAATTGCATCCCAACCATCCCTGATCCGGTTTCCATCTCTCCATCCCAGTTTCCATTTCCCCCATCCCAGTTTCCCTCTCTCCATCCCAGTTTCCATTTCCCCCATCCCAGTTTCTCTCTCTCCCATCCCAGTTTCCCATTTCCCCCATCCCAGTTTCCCTCTGTCCCATCCCAGTTTCCCTCTCTCCCATCCCAGTTTCCATCTCTCCATCCCAGTTTCCCTCTCCCCCATCCCAGTTTCCCTCTCTCCCATCCCAGTTTCCATTTCCCCCATCCCATTTCCCATCTCTCCATCCCAGTTTCCATTTCCCCCATCCCAGTTTCCCTCTCTCCCATCCCAGTTTCCCATTTCCCCCATCCCAGTATCCATTTCCCCCATCCCAGTTTCCCATTTCCCTCATCCCAGTTTCCCTCTCCCCCATCCCAGTTTCCCTCTCTCCCATCCCAGTTTCCATTTCCCCCATCCCAGTTTCCCATTTCCCTCATCCCAGTTTCCCTCTCCCCCATCCCAGTTTCCCTCTCTCCCATCCCAGTTTCCCATTTCCCCCATCCCAGTTTCCCTCTCTCCCATCCCAGTTTCCCTCTCTCCTTGTCCCCTCTCCCCTTTCTCGACCTGAGTCATTCCCTGGCCCCCGGAGATTCCCGAACTCCGGCCGCTGCTGCCTCTGGAAAACCACAAATGGATCCGGGCTCCAGCCGGGCCATTTTCTCCCTCCTTGCTGCCAAAAATAAAAGGAATTAAGAGCAAAAAAAAACCCCAAAAATCCACCCGAAATTGCTCCTAAAAAGCCAAATGCGCTCCCGCTCTTCCGCCGGCGCTGCCGAGTCATTCCCAAAAAGCTTCGATTTTGGTTTTGTGGGATTCTAATGGATCTGAGCCCCGGCACCGGCGATTCCCGTGGGATTGGGGCTGCCTGACGAGGCTCCTGCAGCTTCCAAGGCTCCGTGTCCTGGCCCAGCCCTTCCTGATCCGCCTCGGGAAAATCCTGCGGGAATTTTCTTCCCGTCGCCACCCTTGGAGGGGCTTTGGGAGTGGAAATGCAGGAATGGGGAGTGTTGGGAATTCCTTGTTATCCCATCTCCGGGATTATGGGATGAACTCCTGGCCTATCCCGGGAACTGGGCCGGGAGTTCTGGAATTGCAATCCAGGGATTTGAGTGGGATTTGGGATGGGCCGAAGGAAAGGACCTTGTGCAAGTGGCTCTGGGTATCCCAAGGCAGCCGTTCCAGAGGATTCCTTCTCCCAGGGTGGGAATTTGGGATCCCTGGATATCCCATGGGAACGGGCACTGATGGAACAGGACACAGCCTGGGACTGTCCTGCACTTCTGGACATCCAGGGAATTCCTGAGGGACTCCTCCCTCTGGAAAACAGAGCTGGGATGGGATAATGGGATAATGGGATAATGGGATAATGGGATAATGGGATAATGGGATAATGGGATGGGATGGGATGGGATGGGATGGGATGGGATGGGATGGGATGGGATGGGATGGGATGAGTTTCTCCAAAACCTACCCTTGGACACTGCCAGGGATCCAGGGATTCTCTGGGAATCCC